GAGACAAAAGAGAGGACGTTACCACTGATATCACAGAAAAGGCAAAATGTCATGAGAGACCATTATGAACAGTAACTGCATCCTAATAAATTGCATACATAAATGAAATAGACAATTTTCCAGACACATATAACCCACTAAAATTGAAGTATGGGGACATAAAAATATGAATGGACCAATAACAACTGCCAAGAATCAACTACTAATAAGAATTTTCCCAACAAAGAAAAATCCAATCCAGATCTGGATAGCTTCATTGTGGAATTTTACCAAATTTAAACCAACTCTTTTCAAAATAATTCAAAAAAATTGAAAGATTCCTTCCAAACATATTTTATAAGATCAGCATTGGCTAGTTACTCAAACAAGACAATGATACACACACACACACACACACACACACACACACACACACACACACACACACACAGAAAATGCTCCCATATTCATAAATTGGAGATTTGATTTTCTTGAGATTATAGTATATTTGCACCACCATTTCTCAGTCTTTCTCCTTCTTTCACACTCTACCATTTACTACCACCTTTTCTCTTTCAAATTCATGGCTTTTTTTCTTTGTGAGATATATATGGATATATAGATATATATGTATATGTGTGTGCACATATATACACACATATGAACATGTATATATACATATATGTATATCTGAAGAATGTATCTATTTCTTTGCATAGATATGTATATGTATTCTAAAAGTTAGGCTTGATATAAATATTCTGAATTTTAAAATATACCTGCTTAGTCTATATAATATTACTTATATGAATATGTTTCAGGGCTAACTATTTGGTATTGGATAACCGGTTGGTAAGCTCTTTCCTGGGGAAGGCTATATCTCTGCTTTCTATATTCCTGAGGTACCTATAGTTTTTTCCTAGGGTTAATATCTCTTGATCTTTTTCCTTCTATATTAGCATACTCATTTATGCTGTCCTGCTCTGGTATTGGTTACGTAGCCAGGTTGATGATGTTTCATGGATGTCACTTCTCTGAGAGTTCTAAGACACAATCTCACAGAAAACACTCTTCCTTTGGCTCTCATAATCTTTCTGTTCCTTTTTGTACAATGATCCCTGAGACTTAGGTACAGGAGTTGTATTATAGATTCATCAGTTGGGAATAGGTACCACAGCTCTGTAATTTGATCAGTTTCAATCTTCTATAGTAGTCTTTATGTGTTGATGAGTGGTGAGCGCTACACTTATGAACAGGCATATACATATTTGAAATGTTATTCGGGATTGTGCATGTTTAGTAAAGTGGCAGCTGTATGATCTTTTCTAATATCAAAGACTTATTTAGGTAGTCTTATGATCTCCTCTAATATCAAAGACTTATTATATCCTATAATATCAAAAACTTATTATTAGGTAGCTGCCTAGGTTTCCAGTACCAGACATGATTTCCATCGAGTTGAGCAGGCCTTAAGCCCAATTACAGCATTGTTAGTTACTAAAATAGTGTACATGACACTATTGTACCCTTAAGGTTATTGTGTAATGCTGGTCATTTATGGATAATGTTATTTAATTCTGAT